CTCCCACAATAATCTCTAATGTCATTTTGTACTAAACTATTCACTAGAACTCACTAAACCAGAGCTTGAACCTATGTATTTGTGTAAACCCTTCACAATTAATGAGAACTCCTCTACTCCATGGACGTAGCCAATCTGGGTGAACCACGTACATCCTGTGTTTGCTTCTCTGTCTCTATTCATTTACGTACTTATCCTCACTAGTGACCGAAGCAACCAAGCGAAGGTCACAAAACCTGACACTTTCTGTTGTACCAAAGTCCTCGCTGATTTTGTGCATCAACAGAAGAGATGTTCAATCTCCCACAAAAGTGGCTTGAGCCATCTTTTGCAGTAATCCGTCAAAACAACAGTCTACTAATAAATGGAGTTCTTTATTGTTTGTCTTTTGCGGTTTCAAGGACTTTATTATTTATCTTTTAGTTTTTGTCTCAATTACTTAAGTCTTTGAGATGCCCAGGGGGTTGTAATCTGTTTATTTAAGCCATTTGACTTCTCATTTGTAAGCATATTTTATCTTTCAATCAATTAATCAAATTATCCTTTGGGATTTCTATCAAACTAGTGGATTGCATAATTTTATTCTTCAAGGATTTACGCTTGTAACAGCTTTGTGCTGCGTCAATTGGTATTAGAGCAGGGATTTGCCTTGTTCTAATGGCAATCGATCGTGGGAGAAGATACACCTTAAGCAATGTTGATCGCAAGGTTGTTACTATAGATGGGGATAGGGAGCGCGCAAAGGGAGTTGCCCCAAGCCAACCATATCTGGTTGATGTCGAAGATATTCCTATTTTCTTATTTTTTGGGAAGTGATTGCATTGAAGGTTTTCTCTTGTGCATTGAGGATGTAGAGAAACTTTTCAAGACACTACCAAATTCAAAGAGAGATGGTGAAGATGGTTGCTTCTTGTTTAGATGGTGATGTGCGTTTATGGTGGGATCAAATGCAAGAGTCTAGGCGACAACAAAGTAAAAATTCTATTCAAACTTGGCTTTGGTTGAAGCGTCTAATTGTTAAGCAATTCTTTCCCAATCTCTACAAATTGTATTTGGCAAGAACGGGTCAAGCAATCATTAGAAAAGACGCTACAGTCAGGGAGATTGAAATTTCACTTTGCCAAGAAACAGTGGAGTTCATACTAGTACAAAAACATGTTTGTGCGATGGAGCAAATTTTGTTGCGCAAACGGTCTTTGCGCAATGACACTTTGTGCTATGAAGACTGGCGTCGCGCAAGGTGTACCTACGTCAAGCAAAGCTGTTTTGTGTGACGCCAACCTTCGTCGCTCAAAGTACCATTACGCAAAGGCCATTTACGCAACATTTTGTGCGTCGCGCAAGATTTTGACGCCAAACCAAGAATGCTTTACCGTCTTTTTCCCAACTTTGAGCAATGCAGGTGTACCTATATCGCGCAAAACAGTTTTGCATGACAAAGATTGTCATCGCGTAAAACTGCTTTGCGCGACGAAGGTTCACCTACATCGTGCAAAGTTATTTTGCACGACAAATGCACACCTTCGTCGCGCAAAGTCAATGACTTTGTGGTATAACATAAGATTTTGTGGTATCCACTTGTGTAAATATTTTAATTGGCGATCGAATTAGTTCATTGTATTCATATAAGATCAAGGAGTGTAGTTGTAAAAAAACATCAAAATCGGAGTTAAAATAACCGTTAAATCGTGATTTTTCGTTTATAACCGTCAAACTCAATGATATATATTTATTAAATAGCTTTAAACTTATTTATTCTGTTATAACACTTAAGAAATTGAATGATATATATATTTATTAAGTAGATTTAAATTTATTTATTCTGTTATAACACTTAAGAAATTAAATGGTATATATATTTATTTATTTTGTTATAACACTTAAGAAATTGAATGGTATATATATTTAATAATAAGTAGCTTTAAATTTATTATTGTAGTTCGGATCCGGTCTTTGTTGGAAAAATATATTATTGTGTTTTATGTAAAAAAAAAAATTAATTTGAAATGAGTAAAGTGACATTTTCAGTCAATTTTATAATACATATATATATATATATATATTTAAATATAACTTGTGCGACGTCACAACTGGGTCGTAGCTCAAACACACCTTGCGCGACGCACCAACCAGTGCGTCACGCAAAATTGCTTTGTGCAACGAATGCACACCTTCGTCGTGCAAAGCCAATGACTTTGTGGTATAACATAAGAATTTGTGGTATCCACTTGTATAAATATTTTAAATTAACGATCGAATTAGTTCATTGTATTCATATAGGATCAAGGAGTGTAGCTATAAAAAAAAATCATCAAAATCGAAGTTAAAACTACCGTTAAATCGTGATTTTTTGTTTATAACCATTGAAAAGGTTTGTCCCGTTACTTGATATCCGAATGTTTATTTTTTGCTATTTTTAGCGTATGCAATCTCGAAGCATATACAAACAAGTTTTGACAGTTTGATCGTTGAAACTAATTTCGTAGGATGCATATCCCATCAAAACAATTGATTCACTAACACTTGGAGTTTATTTATACTTTCATTAAGTATAACATAAAGATTTTATGGTATCCACTAGTGTAAATAATTTAAATTGAAGATCGAATTCATTCATTGTATACATATAGGGTCAAGGAATATAGCGGTAAAAAATCATCAAAATTGGAGTTTAAACTACCGTTAAATCGTGAATTTTTGTTTATAATCGTCGAAAAGTTTTGTCCCGTTACTTGATCTTTGAATGTTTTTCTTTTTTTGTGATTTTTGGCTTATGCGTTCTCGATAGATATACAAACAAGTTTGACCATTGGATCGTTAAAACTGGCTACGTAGAATGTGTATCCCATCAAAACGATAATTTCACTAACACTTAGAGTTTATTTATACTTTCATTAAGTATAACATAAAGATTTTGTGGTATCTACTAGTGTAAATATTTTAAATTAAAGATTGAATTCATATAGGGTCAAGGAGTGTAGCTGTAAAAAATCATCAAAATCGGAGTTAAAATAACCGTTAAATCGTGATTATTCATTTATAACCGTAAAAAAGTTTTGTCCCGTTACTTGATCTCTGAATGTTTGTTTTTTTGGATTTTTGACGTATTCAATCTCAAAATATATATACAAACAAGTTTGACGGTTGGATTGTTGAAACTAATTTCGTACAATGCGTTTCCCATCAAGTTCAATGGTACATATATTTACTAAGTAGATTTTAATTTATTTATTTTGTACTCATAAGCAAAAGGGGGGGAAAAGAAACTTTGCGCAAAGTAGGTAAAGCTGCATTGCGAAAAGTTATTTTGCGCGACGTAGGTCTTCGTCGCGCAAAGGTGTTTTTTGCGACGCATGTGTACCTACATCACACAAAGTTTTTTTTTTCTTTTCATTTTGCTTTTCTTTTGGGGTTCTTGCATTGCCTTTTTCTTTTGTGGTATCCACTCGTGTAAATGTTTTAAATTGACGATCGAATTGGTTCATTGTATTCATATAGAGTTAAAGAGTGTAGCTATAAAAAATCATTAAAATCGGAGTTAAAATAACCATTAAATCATGATTTTTTGTTTATAGTCATAAAAAAGGTTTGTCCCGTTACTTGATATCTGAATTTTTTTTTTTGTGATTTTTGGCGTATGCGTTCTTGAAGCAAAAATCTTCCATGAGCATCATAGTACACCTTATGCATGTCATATTGGATTTTTAAAGACTTATAAAAGAATTTTTCAGTCTTTTTATTGGCAAGGCATGAAAAATGATATCAAGGAAATGGTGGCTGCTTGTGGTCCGTGCCAACAAAATAAATATGAAACACTTGCCTATGCAGGGTTATTGAATCATCTTCCAATTCCACATAGGGTATGGTCAGACATCTCTATTGTAGGGTTGCCCCCTTGTAAAGACAAAATTGTCATATTTGTGGTGGTTGATAGGCTTTCGAAATATGCCCATTTTATGCCTCTTTCTCACCCTTACACAGCGCTGACAGTGGCTCAAACTTTTGTGGATAATGTCTTCAAATTACATGGAATGCCCACTTCAGTAATTAGTGATAGAGATCGTGTTTTTCTCAGTGCTTTCTAGAAGGAGTTTTTCAAACTATAAGAATCCAATCTTTGTTATAGTTTTGGTTATCATCCTCATACGGATGGGCAAACTGAGGTTGTAAACAGATGTGTAGAGACTTATTTGAGATGTTTCTACAGTTCACAACCAAAACAATGGTTGAAGTGGCTTTCTTGGGCTGAGTGGAGCTATAACACAGCCTATCACTTTGCTTCTAAGATGACTCCTTATGAAGCTGTTTATGGGCAATCACCATCACATATTCCAGTTTATGAAGCGGGGACTACTAAAGTTGATTTGGTTGATAAAAGTTTGCAAGAAAAAAAATCGAGTGTTGTCTCTTTTAAAGTCGAATTTGGAAGATGCACAATACAGAATGAAGTTGCAATCAGACTGATACCGTACTGAAAGATCATTTGCAATAGATGATTTTGTTTATCTTAGGTTGGTCTCTAGCTTCCCACCCTTTTAATAAATGCAACCCAGGTATTATGGGCCCTTTGAAATACTTGCAAAGGTGGGGTTATGTTGCTTACATATTGAAATTACCTTCCAATTCAAAGATTCATCCAGTTTTCCATGTATCTTGCCTAAAAAAGCAATTGAGAAATTTTGTGGTTCCTAATGTGCCTTTACCAGTAGTTGAAGATGAAGGGTTGGTAGAGGCATCTCCACTGGCTGTTTTAGATAAAAGGGTGATGAAGCATGGTAGTGCACTAGTGCCAGAATTGTTGGTTCAGTGGAAAGGACATTCTGTTGCAGATGTCACTTGGGAAAATATCAAGATTTCACTACTCAATATCCAGCTTTTACGCCTTGAGGACAAGGCTGATTTCAAAGGAGGGGGTAATTGTTAGGAAGCTAGATGGCATTCCTCTATTTGGTCATTGGCTAATGTTTTTCAAAATAAAGGCTGTAACAAACCAACTTTTGGAGAAATTTTTTGGGAAAACTTACATCTGGATTATAAAAGATTAACAAATAAATGCATGCTTGATTAAACCAACAACTTGCAACTGATAAAATTACTAATTTATTACCTACCCTTGTTCCCAGCTTTTGGCCCCTCTTGTTAGCTCATACAGTACGAGGGAGATAAGGTGGACCTCACATCGGCAAAATCCGAGGCTAAGCTGCTCCATGAAAAGATCTCAGACAAGGCCTACAACGATGACGATATCATCAGGATTCTGGCTACGTGGAGCAAAGCACAGATCAATGCAACTCTAGATCACTGCAAAAAAAGAATTCGGGAGTGACATCAACAAGGTATGCAGTTGAGTTTTACGTAATCCCATTTTTGACCGTAATCCGCTGAGGCTTGGATTTGATGAGTGTTTCTATGCCCAGGATCTGAAAGCTGACCCCAACGAGTATCTTGCAATACTAAGGGCCACGAAAAAGTGATTGGTCCGCCCTAACAAGTGTTTTGAAAAGTCTCTTCTTCTGGCATTTAACAGACGAGGAACAGATGAAGGAGCCCTCACTGGAGTTGTCGATACGAGGGCTGAGGTTGGCATGAAGATTATCAAGGACCTGTACCACAAAAGGAACAGCGTCCCTCTGTATCAGGCCATTAAAGAAGACACTACTTTAATGCATCTTTCTTGTAGGAGCAAGGCAATATATTTGAATCCGATATGTTCTACTTACGACAGATAGTAATAGTGGAAGCTTGTTTTTGTTTTACAATTGAAGAGCATGTTTTTTTCACTACTTCAATGCATCTTTCTTGCAGCTCAAGTTAAACATTCTTCTTCATAGCACCAAAGCCATCAGTGTTTTATTAATACACCTCGCGAATGGTTTCTTAGAGGCAAGAAATTCCTGGATGGAATCGCTGTGTACAACTTTTGGCCCACAAGACCTGTCACTTACAAGCAGCACAATAGGAGTTGAACGTGAGAGGAATATGCAGCGGTTTATGTATATAACCTGAAAGAGATGATTGTCCGGTCATATATGAACCATCTCGACCTCAAGAAAGAAATCCCAACATCACATTTATACAACATCGAATCAGAAATCCACAGTTTCGACAGTGGAATATCATACATCCAAAGTTCAGATCAACACACAAAAGCAACAGAATATTACAAGAAGCAACTGCATCAACGAATCAAAACTCTGTTTTAACTCCTTCAGACTTCTTGATGCCATCCATAAAACCAAAATTGCACTCTTCATCTGAGGATCGGTAAGAGATTTAGACGAACATCCCGTATCTTAGCTAGGGCCAAAAAGAGAGTAGTTATTAGTAATTAACATAGAGAACAACAACAAACACTCCAATATAGATTAAAACACATCACTTCTTCAGAAGGTCCTTTGAGAAAATCCTCTTGCAGTATGGACTGGTGCGTAAGATTGTATGAGGCTTCACTGCTTCAACCAGAGCAGCATGAAGAGGGCCCTGGCAACGAAACAAAATGATTAGGACGTGTGTGTGTGTGTGTGAGAGAGAGAGAGAGAGAGAGATTAATTTTTAAACCTTTGCAACTCCAAGAGCAGATTGAATCACGTAGTTTGCGTAAGGGTCTTGTAGCAACTGATCAAAACGCTGAAATGAGAGCAATTCGTGGATGATTTTAGGTCGGCTCTCTTCAAAATACTTGAGGCACTTTTCAACAACATGACTACTGCACTTCTGCATGGAGAGGCGTACAAAATTTCCTTTTAACTGAGTAGTCAGTTTGGCCATGGCAGATGGGATCTTCAGCTCTATCACATATTGAACGACATAATTCCTGCAGAGCAAATGGAACAAAATAAACCCTTACTTCAGTCATAAAACCGAATCAAATTGTTCCACAGAATAAAGGATGAATCATTAGTCATTTCGATAGATTTTGGATATATAGAAGTTTGTAAAATACTAAACTGAATTTTAGATTAGAAAAACAGAGGAAACGAATGAAGTAACGCAATGGTTGAAGGCGTGATGTAAATATATAAGAGATCAGCCTTATGTTTGCATTGAAGTGGATCAAAGAAATTGCTGACTGGAAAACTTTTGGTTCCTCAAGAAACAAAATTTGTCAAACAATATCATATTAGGGGTTTATGGGCAGCAAAGAACAAAAATTATGACAGTTTGAAGACACTTGTAAATGATTACCCATAAGGATCTTGTGAAAGGAGAAGCCCATTTCTTGAAATTTCATTGATCAGCTTATCTCGATGTCTCCCAATGGCATGTGCTATGCATTTTTGTAGCACACAGCATCCATGGCGTTGAGTTGCAATCTCGACACAATATCTTGCAGCAGCATCAAAAATAAACTACAAGAGATGATTAACAGAAAGATGAACAGAATAAGTTCAGTCTTTTCAACAAAAAACAAAGTATATCCTACAGAAAGCACACAACCAGTCCTTAAAGCCTTGTTTGCAATTTAAGTTGTTTAATCTCGTATCTGTCTGTAAAATGCTTTTAAAGTAAACATATATTCCAGTCCATCCCGCCAATCTTGTGATGCAGTTCTAACAAGTAGGATCGTTAAGAGCAGGCTTACAGTCACCTATTGAATCTGATCAAGCATTCTTTAAAAGTGTCTCATTGCTCTGCAATCAGAAGCTCTGCTTCTTTCCTTTTCGTTAAGGTTTTCAGAAGCAAATTTGCAATTTGGCTAATCCATAGAACACTAGATTTGCGCAAAACATGTTGGAAACAACGCCCCAGTTTATCTCTTTGCTTTGATTTTTCTGGTTCTTCTCATTGTTCCCATGTACAGCTAGGTAACATATGATTCATAAAGTTTTAGCACTGCTACTGAAAACTGAGTCTTTGGTTTTAACAACTCAACTACAGATAAGTGTGGTCCTTAAACTCAGACTGACGTCTTCAATACTACGGAGAGTAGTATATATGATAATTTCTTGCATACATCTAACCCGCCCCACTGACTTTTTAGCGTAGACCTCACCAACGGATTTCAGAACACATCAGATGAAACAGTTCACACCTTGAATATGCACTTCCAGCAGTATTATACAAAAACACTCTACAGCTACCCAAGCAATGAGTAAGAAACATCATTAAAGTTCACATTATTTGTTACATTGGAATAAATTATACGGCGAACATGTGAAGGTTTATGGAAATAATGTACTGAAACAGTGCATTACCTATGGCAAATACATGACTTTACAAAATATTGTATTTGCAATTTTGCATAATAGTAATGATCAACACAATTTTGCTTGACTATCATTAGCATTTGCATGGTTACCACATAAAACTTGTGAGAAAATGCAACAGAAAAAGAAGAAAACATGAATCAGACAGTATTCATTCAGAAGATATTTATTCTTAAGAGCCTATTTGAACCTGGTCAATTTAACAGGAAATATATTTTAGTAGAATCATACCTTATTGTCTTCGTCGCTAAAGCAATCCAAGCAACGTTGTACTACATGATTGCCATTTGGATCCTTAATAAGATCAAGAAAACCGCATTCAAGGGACGATTTAACTAACGCTATCTGTTTCCCAGGTTTCAGAGTCTCAATCAATTTCTGTACGACACGAGTCCTGAAACCGTAGCCAATTATATTCAGGAACATGATATCAGTAAAGAAAGAACAATACAAATTTAGTGACAACAAATGAGTACAGTATCAAGAATATACCCATGTGTGTCTAAGGAAACTCTGACAAGCTGTCCTGGTTCTTTTATCACCTTGATTACAAATTGCATTCTTTGTTGTTCATTGCACACATCCAACAACTTCTGCATAAGGTAATTGCCAAATGGGTTCGTCATAAGTTCGAAAACATGGTTGATTATTTTGTCAAATATTAGTTGCAAATCTTGGCTAGTCCCCTCATCAAGCATCCCTTGTAAGAACCGACAGCCGTACTGATCCTTTGCAACGAAATATATATATTCCTGGACCTCAGCCAATGAACACAAACTTATAAATGACCTAAATGAGTTATTGTCACTCTGGCTCCATTCATTTCCACCATCATATGAATCGGAATCAAGTCTGGAGCTTTTCTCTCCTGTCGGCATTGCCATCTTAGTGCAAGAGTTCTTCTTGTAGCCCTTTGAAGACTTGCTGGGTTTACATATGGCGTGATTCAAATGGTTTCCTTGCATGATGGAACTATCCTCGCAACCATAACCCTCAAAGTCCCCTGCACAATTCATGGACTTGAAAGATTCAGGAATCCCACTAGTTGGATTCACTCCAGTCCTTTGTTTTATCATTGAATGGTTATGTGAAAGATTGTCCACATTCAACTTAGCAACCGAGGGGAACTGAGGGGAACTCATCGGATACATAAGACCCTTTCCGCCACTAGAATCTGTTCCACGTGGCTGTAAGCAAAAATAGTCCTCATCAGGGTAAGACCTAGCACTAGATGGGTTCCTCTGATACCAGCCATCTCCCTGTTCCATTCTTTTAACACAACTAGGCCCAGAATAGAAAGCATTGGGTTGCATATGATTGCGAAAGGACCCCATTGAATCGCCAACAGCGCATTTTGGCTGCAATCCAAGCAATGCTGACTCCATAGTCCTACCAAATCTCCCACTACCTCCCAAACCCGCAGATTGAAACCCATCAAAATCCGAAACATTGTTCTTAGAACTCTCAAATAGGCCATAGTTTTCAGCATTCCAAGGACTAGTCCCCCAAAAAAACCCACCACCGAGTCCAATCCCATCTGGGCCTCTCTCAAATCCCCTCCTTTTAGTCCCATTTTCCTGTTCTTCCCCAATATGCATCCTATAGAAACGCTCAGCCAAACCCAGATCATCCGGGGGCGGCTTAGAGTCGAGGCACAACCCGTTCACGTAAGGTGTTTGATACTTTGCCTCTTCAAATGGGGTTGAATACGGAGACGGAGAACCGTAGCCGGAGGAATAGAACCCATTTGAGAAAGAGCTCGACGGAGAGAACTCCGACGGCAGAGAGGCTCTGCTCACCGGAGAGCCGCCGAGAAGGTGGTGTTGGTGCGGAGGATGAAGGAGGTGGAAAAGACTGGAATAATGCTGATTCCTAGTGGGATTCTCATTCCAGAGCTTTTCCAGCTCTCCTCCTTCCCTCTGTAAAACCCTCTTGTCTTCCTCAGATATTTTGAACATCATACAACATACAACATACAATATATTATATATATCTAATATAAAATACACGTGAGAGAACAAGAAATATATAAATATATATACTTTTTCAGAGGAGAACAACGAGAACCCAGATTCAAGTTCCGAAACCCCACGTCGGAAAACGATTCGGAAGCACGGAAAACGACCGGTGAAAGACGATCATTGCTTGTATGTCAATGTCGTTTTGGGGATTGGATTTTCGGCAATGGGGTTTCTAGAGAGAGAGAGAGGGTTTCGAATTTTGGGTTTTTCTGTGAGTGTATGTGGTAGTACAGTCTGCGACCGCCTCGCACACTCACGCCATTAGACCCTAAAATGAAGAGTCGCACTACAGCGCTCACCGCCCACAACTCACTACAACTCAGAAAAAAAAAACGGAGAGAGAAGAGAGAGAGAAAGTCTGAGAGTCTGACTAGCAACTAGGCAAAGGCTATTTTTCAGTCTTTTTTTTTTCTTCTAATTTTCGGGTCCGAAAGAATATTTAGTTTATTTCATGTATTGTTGTTCCTTAATTATTCAAGTTTTTTAATATTTGATCCTTTTTATTAAACAGCATCTACTTCGTAAATAGAGCTTTAAAATTGTTCTAACATTGATTCCCTGTGGCCTCAAAGTTTGGTTTATTATTGTTTCCTCTTAACTTAATCCGGTTCGATTTTGTTTCTAAATCTAAATTAATTATTTTATTTTTTAGAGTGGATGGGTACTATATTCATTTTTTTATTGAAATACCATATTAATAGAGTGAATGTATTTTTTTATTACAAGTTAAACTAAGAGTAAGAGTTGACCAAAAAAAAAAGTAATAGTAAGAAGAAAGGTCTATCATATCCACTAAGACAATTCACTACTTATAAAAAGGTAAATGAATAAGTACAATAGAATAATAGTGTTCATATTTTTATTAGAAAGCCGACAGGGTTTGAACCCACACCGTAGTGCAAGGGTCACACTCCTCTCTACCACTGTGGTAGAGGGCCTCTTACCTTGACTGCAATATAAACCTTTCTCCAAAATTCAACCCAGTCGAAAGAAAAAAAAAATCTCACATCTACATCACAAGTTAACATTATCCATTAATAACAAATCACCTATTATCAGGAGATTCCTCGAACCAAATGTCATCATATTCTCTTACAAGTTACAACAACATATATGCAACTGATTTCAAAAAAAAAAAAAATATATATATATATATATATATATATATATGCAACATTGTTAGAAGAAGGAAAAAAAATAATTAATCAATTAATCTTAATTAGTAGATTTATTTATGATAATTCTTTTTAATTTTTAACAGTCGTTTCCTCCTGCCTGTCTGCGCTGCGTAACCTTTCTGGCCAAGTCTTATACCAAAATTAGAAAAAGCAACTTTCAGTCCAGGTCAATGTTTGTCATTGGATTGGAGCTCAATTTAAGCAATGGAATCGCTTCTTCCTATTGGCTGCTGCAATTTATTTCACTTTTTTTTGTTTATAAACACAAAATAATTCAGAAAAATTAATAAACTAAATACCCAAACGTAAGTGGGCCCCGCGTTTTGAAAATAAAGTGATCAGAAGCTAATCGGTGATTGGCCCAGAAATTTTGTTGGGAGCCCAACAAATTGTATTTCCAGCTTCTGAGGGTATGGGGGTAGACACAAGACAGGCAGAGCAGAGAATTAATGGAAATAATAAAACTCAAGGCACCTAGGGGGTAGGGCACCTCCAAATTGGAACTGTATTCATTTTTTTTCTAAGAAAAACTAATGAAAATTTTGAAAACTTTGAATTTTAACGATAAGGACAAAATAAAGGGTAAAATAAATAGTACCAAGTTTGACTTTTTAGTGTAAAAATATGGTTTTTCGTTAAAACTCCATTTTTTCTATGATTTGAACTGGGAGTTGTTAGGAAATTATCATTGATTGTATGTTACTTGGCACATGAATAAAGGGTTCATTCGATGTAATCAAGGTTCCAAGAGCATTCTCAATGAGGAGTTCTATATGAGCTAGAAAAGTAGTGGATATAGCTCATTTTAGAGCTTCAATAAATCTTTGGAGCTTTATAAAAGAAATTCTCCCAGTGAGGAGCTATATCTTTCGGGCTCTATATGAGGTTATATATATATTTATTTATGTAGTAATTTGATTAAGCGATGATTTTTTTTATTAGTTTTTCTTAAGTTGATTTTTGGACGTGATATCTTAAATTTTTATTTTTATGAACCTTTCAACCTAAAAAGTTCAAATTGTGACAAGATTAGATTTTATCACTTATGAATCGTTCGTTGGATTATATTCTCTTATCTCAATCTCATCCGTTGAAAGAAACCAACCCCCCACTTCACCCTCTAAAATAATTTGATTTTCACGTATAACACAACAATTTACCTAGCACCAATTGGTAAATTATTATCATACAATTTTGAAAAAAATTATTTGAAAATTTCACCCACCAATGCCCACGAACGTTAAAGCAATTTAAAATTTTAATCCTTATGGAATTTTAAAAAATCATTAATTAGCCAAATTGCAAGAAAAAAAAAAGTAAGAAAAAAGAATTTTTAAAAAATAATAAAAGTAGAGTATTAAGTTCATTCGCTAGTGGAGAGAGAGAGATAAAATTTTGCTTACATGGGTTGCTACTTTTTTTGGGACCCATTGTTTTTTTGGGCTAAATGTAGCCCGATTTTATGCTACCCAAGAAAAGATGTTGCTAGCCACATTAGCAGATTTAGCTCCATTTTCTGGCTCATTGGGAATGAAATTTCTCGCTAAGCCTTGAAATGTAGTAGCCTCATGAATGATAGAGCCCCCATTGGTGATGTTCTAAAAGATGTTAGACGCTAGTAGGGCGCCGGGTTGGGGCCTACCGTCTAGGTGGCTAGACAGGGCCTAAGCAAACTAGGCGAATTTAGGTAAATCTATATATATTTCGTGTAAATAAGTGTTTTTTTTATAATTAAAATATGGTAAAAGACTGTTTACTACCCTCATGTTTCGTGGTTTTCAATATTTAGTACATCAAGTTTTTTTCGTCTCAGATTCATACCTAAAGTGTAAATTTTGGGACAGTCTCATACAACCGTTAGTCAAACTGTTAAATCTGCCGTTAATTGTGACGTGGCGCCCATGTGAACAATGACTAGGCGCCACGTGTCATCCATGTTTTTATTTTCTTTTATTTTCTTCTTTCTTCTTCTTCCTTCTTCTTCTTCCTCTGATTGCAACTTTTTTTTTTCTTTCTCTTTCTCCTTATTCCTTCCTCCTTCTTCCTTCCCCTTCTTCCTTCCCCTTCTTCTGCTTCTTCCTTCTTCTCCTTCTCCTTCTCATTCTCCTTCTTCTTCTTCTTCCTCCGAATCTGGGGAAGGCTTTTTTTTCTTTTTTGTTCTTCTTCTTCCTCCTTCCTTCCTCTTCTTCTTCTTCTTCCTCTGAATCTAGGTTGCAGATTCCGTTTTTTTTTTCTTTTTTCTTCTTCATTCTTCTTACCCCTTCTTCTTCTTCCTCCGATTGCAACTTTTTTTTTCTTCCTCCTTCTTCTCCTTCTTCCTTCCTCCTTCTTCCTTCCTCCTTCTTCCTTCCCCTTCTTCTTTTTCTTCCTCCGAATCTGGGGAAGATGAAGGTTTTTTTTTTTTTTTTTTTTTTTTTTTTGAGGAAGATGAAGAAGAAGGAAGAAGGAAGAAGGAAGAAGGAGAAGAATGAGGAAGGAAGAAGGAGAAGAATGAGGAAGGAAGGAGGAGAAGAAGAAGAAAGAAGAAGAAAAAAAAAGTTATATTCGAAGGAAGAAGAAGGAAGAAGGAGGAAGAAGGAGGAAGAAGAAGAAAGAAGAAAAAAAAAAAAACCTTCATCTTCCCTAGATTCGGAGGAAGAAGAAGGAAGAAGGAGAAGAAGGAGAAGGAGGAAGAAAAAAAAATTGCAGTCGGAGGAAGAAAGAGGAAGAAGAAGAAAAAAAAATTAAAAAAAAAACCGAATCTGCAACCCAGATTCGGAGGAAAAGGAAGAAGAAGAAGAAGAGAAAGGAAGGAGGAAGAAAAAAAAAAAAAAAAAAAAAAACTTCCCCAGATTCGGAGGAAGAAGAAGAAGGAGAATGAGAAGGAAGAAGAAGGAAGAAGGAGGAAGGAAGAAGGAGGAGGAAGAAAAAAAAAGTTGCAGTCGGAGGAAGAAGAAGAAGAAAAAAAAACGTGGATGACACGTGGCGCCCAATCATTGTCCACATGGGCGCCACGTCACAATTAACGATAGATTTAACAATTTGACTAACGAATGTATGAGATTGTCCTAAAATTTATACTTTAGGTATGAATCTGAGACGAAAAAAACTTGATGTACTAAATATTGAAAACTACGAAACATGAGGGTAGTAAACAATCTTTTACCCATTAAAATATATATAATTTCATCATAAAATACAAAATAAAATAACATATATTTATGAAGTATTAGAACATAATGAAAACATGAGAAACAAGTATATAATGTGTGTTCATTTAAGTATTCAACAAGTCTTACAATTTATTAAAAAAAATGCAAAATTAAAGTTTATTTTATGTCCAATTGAGTTGCAACCTAGTTGGGTGCCTAAGCAAATATGAGCGGGCTAGGCGGGTGCCTCAGCAAGTCTAGGCGCCTTTTTTAAATTTTCTAAACGCCTAGGCATTAATCGGGAAAGTGGCCAGCCGCCTAGGCTTAGGCTGGGATTTCTAAAACAGTGTGTAATATAAAGATTTTGAACTCAATTTGAGTTTGTCTTCAATAATCCAACTTATCAAATAGTCCGATATTTTAAACAATCTTTACTATTTGATTTCAAGAGTTAATTTTCACCATAGATTTCCCGGATTACTCAAAAGTCCACAACAATTTGTTTTACCTAAATCAACTAGATGAGAAAAGAACCTCCTTAAATATTCAAATATATGCCACTAATTCCATAGTCTGCTAATATCCTTTTGATTCTATATAGTTATTAGTTCAAATATTTGTCACTAATTAAATAGTTCATTGTATTGTACCAAATCAGTAGGTCCAGCTTGTGCACTACACATTATTTTATTTTGGGAAATTACCAAGAATGATCATTTTTTGACATTTAATTGCAGAAATAATCATTTTCAGTAACGTGACGTATTGATTATATATCGACAACACAACGTTGACATAACGACACTTGATCATTTTTATAATCAAATATCAAAAAGTGATTATTCCTGCTAATTACTTTTTTATTTTTAAGGCGTTCAATTTTAATCAAACGGCACCTACCCACCGCGTCTTTCCTAGCACCGTAGAGGATCCCCGTAACCGAACTAACCGGTCCGTTATGGTTTGCAGGCACGGCCGCAGAACGGGGC